CTCCAGTGTACGGCGTTATATGATGTATTCTTCAGACCTGCCACAAGCTGTCGCTTATGGCGGAGCGATTATGCCGTGTATTTATACACTGCACAGGGTTGAATCTCTGGTACGGTTTCATTATACTTTTCCCGTATTCTGTGAGGCCCCCATAATCTTTCCGTGTCCGCCAAGATTCGAAGAAGATTATGGGGGTTTTCCTTTTATGGCTTCCGGAACATCTTCAGTCTCCTGAGCTGCTGTCCGTACCTGCCATCTCTCCTGAATGCCTTATGGCGCATTCTGCCTTACGATCCCAATGGATCCTTACCACAACGCCCGAAAATATACCCGCTTTCTTTCTTTTTTGGAAGTAACCCCCTCTCTGAACTTCATTTTTTCAAGTCTCCCTCTTAATAACGCATCAATTTTCTTGACGTAAATCAATTTCCCCACATGGTCACAAAAAGAACATTTGTCTGCCATTTCATCCGTTTTTGGTAGAAAAGATCGCCCATATCATAAAACACGATCGAATGATCTAAAATCGAGATCACAAACAAAATATTATTCTGCATATTTGTATTTAAACGATCATTTCATCTGGATAAATTGATGTGCGTAGTTTTATCGATCGTCTTGACTTGATTTATTAGTTATTTAAACTTTTACACATCACCCTTTCACCGCCAGAACGGGTGGTATTACCACAGAGATTAAATGTTATGTATAAGTCTTTGTTTTATTGTGCTTTTCATAACATCCCGGAATACAGAGAGTTCATCCACCTGGATGAATTCCGCGCGAAGCGTTGATTTTTGATGACAACAGAACAAATTTCAGACTATCGCTGGTATCTGGCGAGGCACATTACCACAGGGAAAAAACGGGAAGCCCTTTTCGGGTGGCTGAGTGACCGGGACATGTATCCCTGGACACCCCTGCATATCAGAATGCTCAGACGTACTGATACCGTATATTCCTTTCGTCGTCAGATAGCCCCCGTGTTTCCGGGATATTTTTTTCTGAAGGCGGACTTTAATATCCATTCGGTTTCAGCCATCCGACAGCACAGTGCCTTTATTGACTTTGTGCGTTTCGGAAACCGTATTCCTGAAGTCCACAACAGTATTGTTGACGGGCTGATGATGATTTACCCGGATCCCGCGCCAGATTCGGGAGTCTGTGAAGCGTTGGACACGGCTTCAGACAGGCTGACCCCGGCGCAGTACCAGTACCTTCTCCACCTGGAAGATCTCCCACGTCCGGTGTCGAGAATTTCCATGCTCCTGGAACTGGTACAGAAAGGCCTTCCGGAGCAATGATATCCAGAGCATTTTCCCGGCCTTCATGGCCGGGCTTTTTTTTGCCTGAATGTCACATCTCCGCGCTGCTGTTTTCCCGTAATGTAAGGATCTCCCGATGACAACAGAATCAGAACATCCTGTCAGAAACCTGCTCTCCCGCATGCTGGCTGCGCTGAATGCGGCAGAACATCTGACAACAGATGCAGAACGACGTCGCTTCCTGAACGAGTGGCTGAATACCGCCTGCCAGGATTCCGGTCTGCATGATGAAATCACCTCCCTGCGACAACTGTTACGCAAAAACCACACCATGCCAATTGGCAACCTGTTGAATGCTCTGCTGGTCAATGCCGGACGTGCCGGGAACTGTGACATTTTCCGCTTCCGGGCAGCCCTCAGTAATCTGATGAAACAGGGCTGGCGCCCTGGCATCTGCCGTTTCCCGGATGACATTCTCCATGAAGCCCTGCTGCGTTCCCGCTCATCAGGCAGAAGAAATCACATTCTTCAACTCTCCGCGACGGAGAACTGCTTCAGCAGCACTGGCGACATGGTGGCCCCGGTGGCGTTCCACCTGATTCAACAACAACAGAAGGACAGCTTCGCGGCAGAACAGGCTTTTTACGCAGAAAACTTTCAGGTCATGTCGGGAAAAGAAAATCTGCTGGAGAAGGGGATTTCCGTGCGAACGATTTATATCGGCCAGGACACGCTTCCCTCTTCAAAATGGGGGGCCAGGCATAGTGATTTATGGCATCCCACAATGTCATCCGTATCTGCAGGAAATAAATATGTTCAGTAACTTCTCTCTTTCAGAAGTTCATCCATCTGAAACCACGATCGGAACAACACTGACATCCTCCGGTAAAAAGAATTACCTTCCGGTGTATTTGTCAGAAATGAAAAAATCCCGTGAAGCCAGAATGTCACTGAGGAAGAAACAGCAGAAAAGATAATACTGCTTCCATATATTTTCAGGCATCACTCCTGCCGCTCGTTTATTCCCTCGCTAAAAATCATTTTTATTAACCTGTCCTTTAATACAGGAGTATATATGAAAAAAACATCCGGATATTCCAGAACGATTTTAGCTGTATTTGTTGCTAACATTCTGTTTGCCCCTTCATCATTTGCAGCACTTACCGCAACCCCCACTCAATATGGCGATAATGCTTCTGCGGGTGCACCAACAGCATCTGCATTTGGCTCATATGCAAATGCATCAGCCAGTGATGCCACAGCCATCGGTTCTAACTCCAAAGCAAGCGGGAACCAGAGTACGGCAGTGGGTCATACGGCCTGGGCTACAGGACAAAGTTCATCTGCCTTTGGGGAGAACAGCACAGCTTCTGGTAATAACAGCACCTCTACTGGCTCTCATAGTTCGGCGTCCGGTGAGTTATCTACTGCATCCGGATATTTCTCTGACGCGCAAGGGGCCAGAGCTACAGCTACTGGTGCCCACAGCAGCGCAACCGGCACCTACAGCACCGCACTTGGTACCTGGTCGTCAGCATCAGCAACCAACAGTGTTGCATTAGGTTATGGCTCTGTTGCTGATCGGGAAAACACGGTATCTGTTGGTAAAGCAGGTAATGAACGTCAGATCACTAACGTCGCCGCAGGTACAGCAGACACTGATGCCGTAAATGTTAAACAATTAAATGATAAAGCCACCGAAACACTGAATGCAGCAAACTCATATACGGATAATAAAATTACAGAAACAAAAAATGAATTGAACACCACCATCAACAATGCAAAAAATGAAGCAATCAATACATCCAATAATTACACCGACACAAAAATCAACGAGACCAAAAACGAACTAAACCTCAATATCGAAAATGCAAAAAACGAAGCAATCAATACATCCAACAATTACACCGACACCAAAATCAATGAAACCAAAAACGAATTAAACCTCAATATTGATAATGCAAAAAATGAAGCCATCACTATTTCCAATAACTATACAGACAGTAAAATAACGGACACCAAAAACGAACTGAATGTAAATATAGATAATGCCAAAAATGAGGCCATTATCACATCCAATCACTATACAGATAACAAAATAGCCCAGAACAATACCGTCATTAATCAGAATATTAATAATGCTAAAAATGAAGCAATTACGGAATCAAATAACTATACCGACTCCCGCTATCAACAAAGTATCCAGTATGCGCAGAATGCAGCTGACCAGGCGGAACAAAACGCCAACCAGTACACCGACAATCGCTTCAGTCAGTTAAATCAGCAGTCAAACCAGCGATTCGAACAATTGAATAAAAAAATAGAGCGGGCAGAAAAACGCCTCAACGCGGGCATTGCCGGTGTGACAGCCATCGCCTCCATCCCTTACGTTGCCGAAAACAACTTCTCCTGGGGCGTTGGTCTGGGAAATTACCAGAACGGAAATGCGCTGGCGGCTGGCGTGCAGTACAAAACTTCCCCGAATACAAATGTCCGACTGAATGTGTCGTGGGATTCAGCCCATAACTCTGCTCTCGGTGTGGGCTTCGCCGGCGGCTGGTAAATCACCTTCAGTATCTCCATACCGGTGTCTGTCTGCACCGGTTTATCACCCCAGAGTCTGTATCTGCAGAAAAGGAATACCAATGAAAAATAACAGTAAGGCCCGTCTGGCTGGCAGAGCAGTTTTGTCCCTCGTTACCCGGAGCATGCACTGGTTTTCATGGGGAATAAAATATGCCGTTATCCTGCCACTGGCCACAATAGCTTTGATGGCTCTGTTTATTTTCTGGAAGGACAACACCACACCGGGTCAGTTACTGGCCGAGGAAATTGAATTTGTAAGGGCAATTGCCCCTGCCGGGCAGTTCCCGGTCCATGACTGCCCGACAGACGTTCCACTCAGTCAACGTTGCTTCGTGATTTTCACGGATGCTGCGGGATATATCGAAAACACAAATCGCTCGCTGGTAAATCTGTTTCAGATGTTCTGGTGCACACTGGCGCTGATGTATGTGGCCATGGCGCTTGTCACCAGAAAATATCCCACGTCTCCCGGAAAAATGAAACTGATTCGTTTGACGGCGGATGATACACGCCTGAAAGAGATTTATTCCGCAAATAATACCGACACATCTGAAAAGGAGTGAGTCGTTATGAGAAACCCAGTGTACTGCTATACCGTTGAACAGAAACAGGAAGAGACATTGACGCGGATTGCCGTGACGGCAACCAGCATGCTGGAACAGCCCATCAGAAAATCAGAAGTCCTGCGTGCTGCTATCGACACGATAATTCACGCCACACCGGACATTCATGATGAATTTATAGAGCACCTGAAAAAACGGGTGAACAGCAGAAATAAATCCGGCCGCCGCACCAGAAAAACAACATCATGAGGAGGTTTCATGCATTATCGCTGCCTGTTACTGCCCCTGCTCGTCGTTCTGTCAGGCTGCACTACCACACCCCGGACGCCTGATACACCGGCAGCATCCTTTGTCAGCACGCTCATCACGGAGCACGCAGAAAAAATCCGCGCACTGCAGAAAGACTCGCTTTCACAACCAACACCGTCACCACGCCCCGCATCATCATCAGCCCACACAGCACAACAGCACCTTCCCGGTGTGACCCTTGTCGGGAAACGCCCACCCCTGCTGCCCCTGACACAACAGCGTGGCCGGCAGGTTCCCCTGACAACGGCGCTGAAGCGTATTCTGCCGCCGGGCTGGCAGCCACATCTGATGCCCGGAGTGGCTTCCCGCCTGCCGGTATCATGGACAGGTAACGACCAGTGGCCATATGTACTGCAGAAAATCGCCCGTGAGCATCAGCTGAAGATGACGATCGACTTCGATCGCCATACGGTCACGGTTTCACCTGCCGGTTCGGACCTTTTGTGATGTGGCGCGTTCTACTGCTTGTTACCGGACTGCTCTGGCTCCCCCCTGCCGGGGCATGGTGTTTCCGGCAGGCCGGAGAGCGGTATCAGATTGATCCCCTTCTGCTGCAGGCCATCGCCATTAAAGAAAGCCGTCTGAACACCCGTGCCATCGGTTATAACCGAAACAAAGCCGGGCAGATAACCAGCCGGGACTATGGCCTGATGCAAATTAATGAGCGACATATTCCGGTTCTGCGTCGTTATGGCGTGCTCACCGCCGGTAACGACCTGTTGACCGATGCCTGTCTGAACGTTCAGGCCGGTGCCTGGGTGCTGGCGCGACACCTGCAGAAATGTGGTCCGACATGGGACTGCATTGGCTCCTACAACGCCGGCTTTGCTTCCGGCAATGCCGGGCTGCGTCAGCGTTATGCCCGGGATATCCGCGCCATCTGGCTGTACCTTCACCGCCAGGAAAAAACCGGTTAACACTCTGTCATCTCCGAGGTTTCCCCATGAAATTACGTCATCCATTCTGGCTGGCAGCGCCACTGTTGCTGCTTGCCGGCTGTCATTCCACCGGAAAAGCCCCGGTCACCAGCCCCCGCCCGGTGACCGCCATCAGCATTCCCCTGAATAACCTGACGCCTGAAGGCTGGCAGTTCCCCGGACGTATCACCGCCAACTCACAGCGCCTGTCAGTGGACTGGGATGGTGATGCCTCCGAACTGCTGAGTCAGCTGGCTCACCGGCGTGGCCTGACATTGCGCATGACCGGCGTTCGCCTCCCTCTTCCGGTCACCATCCATGAACAGAACATCACGTTTGAGACACTCCTGCGTCTGGTTCAGGTTCAGATCAACTGGCGGGCGTCGCTGGTCCAGACAGCCACGTCTCTGGAAGTCACCTTTCTGCCGCCCCTGAAAGGAGTCTCATCATGAAATATGCACCGTGGTGTCTGATGGCCTTCTTATTCATGACCGGCATCGCCTGTGCTGAAGAGGAAGCCCCGCCGGACATTCAGCGTTATATCGATGCCGCCAAAAAATTGCCTGACGGGGTGAATGAAACCGTCTGGCAGATGCTGACAGAGGCTGGCAGAACCGAAGGCTTCCGGGGCGGAAAAGCGCAGCGTGCCTGGGAACTGCGTCAGGCACTGACCGCCCGGGGAACAGAGCTTGATCAGTTGTATCAGTTTGCCCCCCTCATCAGCCGTCAGGGATGGCTGCCGCCGGTCATTGCCAGCGCCGGTTCTCTGGCCACCATTACCGACAAACAGATGCGCACGGCACAGCAGACTTACAGACTCCTGCGTCCTGAACGTTTTGTCAGTAATCCTCCCGGCTGGCGACAGTATCTGTTTGCCGGACTGACCACCACCGCCCGTCCTGACGACAGCGTGATTCCCCGTAACAGTGCTGAACGGGAAATCTGGACGAAAGCCGTGCAGCAGGGATGGGAGGAAGGGCGCAAAAGCGCGGATGAAACGCTGACCGCAAACTTTAACCGGCTGACCCGTGATTACACCGGGATGATGCGATACACGCAGCTGGCCCGGCAGAACATGATCACGCCCCCTGTCGTTACCGAACAGCATCAGAGCGTCACCGGCACCCGCAGCCAGTTAATGCTGGGCGATCGCGTTCGCGACCTGAAACAACCCGCCGGCTTTGAACTGGATAAAAAACGCTGGGTTCCACAAATCACAGTCGGAGAGTAAGTGCCGTGGATACCCTTCTGCCTCTTGATCAATTCAGTTTTGCCGGTGGCGTCACCCCGGACAGGCTGCGTGGCTTTCTCGTGCACTGCTACCGTCACGGTGTGTCCGATATCCACCTGCAGAGCGGCGGTCCGCTGATTGTTGGCCACCACGGACGGATGATTCGCTGCAGCCCGTTCACGCTGGATCATCCCACACTGTTATATCTGACTGACCAGATTTTCAGTCCTGACATTAAGGCACTGATACAGCGGGGAACGGGGGCCGACCGTTCCCTGCAACTGGAAGGCAACAGTGACGGACGTTTTGGCCTGCAGCGAGGAGAACGACTGCGTTTCCGGGCCAATTTTACCCAGGCCACCATCAGGGGACTCAGTACGGCTGCGGCAGTCACCCTACGTATCATCAATAACCATATTCCCGACCTGTCTGATATGGGGCTGCCGGAAGATTTATTCCGGGCACTGGCCGCCCTTCCCCATGAAGGCATCGGCCTGATTTGCGGGCCGACCGGCTCCGGCAAATCCACCCTGTTGACGGCCACCTATCAGCACCACGGCAGAACATCACCTCACTGTAAAATCGTCACCTATGAAGATCCCGTGGAGGCGCTGCTGGGTGGTAACGACTGGGTACTGCAGCCCCAGCAGTGCGAAGTGGGTAAGGACGTTCCATCCTTTGCCGCCGGCCTGCGCCTCTCAATGCGTCAGGCCCCCACCATTATCGGCATTGGCGAAATCAGGGACGGCGAAACCGTTGAAGGCATGGTGAACTGCGCCCTCTCCGGTCACCTCTGTCTGGGAACCGAACATGCCTTTTCTCCCGGACACGCCTTCTCCCGCAGCGTGCGAATGCTGCCGTCAGACAACCGTGAGCCGCTGGCCTGGGACATGCTTGAACTGTTGCAGTTCATTATCGTCCAGCGCCTGATCCCCACCACGGACGGACGCCGGCAGGCGGTACGGGAATACATTCTGTTTGATGAATCTGTCCGCAGTCAGTTACGTCAGCATGCCCGGAACCAGTGGCCGTCCGTACTTAACGACATGCTGACCCGGAACGGCACCCGCATCGCGGATGCCGCATGGTCACTGTATCAGGAAGGCCGGATCACCGAAGCCACCGCGACGGAATACATCGGCTTTCAGGAATTCACCCGGAGGAAAAAACATGGCTGATTACTCCATGTCCCGGGATGCCTCACCACCTGTCCGACTGTTCAGCGTTCCCCCTCTTGCCTGGCTGACGCTGCTGCTGTGGTTCAGGTGGCCATCCCTGTTCATGTTTATGTTCTGCATCGCCCTTATTGCTTTCTTTGCCATTCTGACCCGCATGGGGATCACCGCCGCTGTGCTGGGCCAGAAACTTGTTCATCGCCTGCGCGGCACCCGCATCAGCGGACGTCCCTGGTGGTACCGTAACTTCTTCTGACAGGGAGACACTCATTTATGACCCCTTCCAGAACCTATCTGGCAATCCCTCACGACCAGCATCAGGACGTTAAAAAACTGGCCGGAAAACTTGAAGACGGTCGTCAGGCCGTGCTTTTCGATCGTGAAAAAAAATGCTGGTATGCCCGGGCAGGCGCAGACCTGGAAAAACTGAAACCCTGGCTGCCGGATAAACACCATTCCGGTGTTTCATCCGTTGATGCCAGAACGCAGTTCGAGGATTTTCTCCGGGCAAACGGTGCCATTCTGGATGCCAAAAACCCCGTAGAAATGGATGGTAAAAAGCACCGGATCCGTCTGCAGGGAGATACCGGTGGCAAAAAATCTGGTTCATACGTTGGCCACCTCGACGGCCATCCCAATGGCTGGTTTAACGATTTCCGGGACGGCGGCAGTGAAATTAATGCCACCTGGTCTTACAGCGGTGAAAAACCGGATCCGGTGGCCGCCCTGCACATCAAAGCCGTCAATGCCCAGGAGGCCTGGAACCGGGCAGAACAGACCCGCCTCCTGCATGACCAGAAAGCCCGGACATCGGCACAGCGATATAAGCGCACGGCACAGGCCGGGCATGATCACCCTTACCTGCAGAAAAAGGGCGTTCAGGCCGCGCGGGGCGTGCATATTGACAACCGTCAGGGGCTGGTTATTCCGCTGTACAACACGGACGGGCAGATCCGTTCAATTCAGACGATTGACCCGGAAGGTAACAAGCGGCTGGCAAAAGATGCGGAAAAAGCCGGTAACTTCTTTGTCGTCGGCGGTTCGCTGAAGGATAACCACCCCATTGTGCTGGCCGAAGGTTACGCCACGGCGGCCAGCTGCGCGATGGCACTGCGTCACCCTGTTGTGATGACAGTTGACTCCGGGAATCTGGTAAAAGTCGCGGAAAATCTTCACGCCCGTTACCCCGGCAGCCCGATGTTATTTCTGGGCGATGATGATCTCCCCAAACCCGGGCGTCCCGGGAATCCGGGGAAAGAAGCCGCCGAAAAAGCCGCACGCCTCACCAGAGGAACCGCATTTGTCCCACAGTTCACCCGTGAAGAGCGGGAGCAGGGGCTGACCGATTTCAACGATCTGCATCAGGCCAGAGGACTGGCAGCCCTGACAGAACAGCTGACGCCCGTCTGGCAGCAGGTGCTTGCCCGGTGTCCGGCGAAGGAGAACATCGTGAAGGAGACACCGGATAATCAGGCAACACCGGTCGCAACGAATGCTGCCGACATGCCGGAAATGAAGGTGGCAGATAATACCGCTGCGGAACCTGCCCCTGCGGCTGAAACCGCCGCAACGGACGTCGCTGACACCCCGGCCCCTGCCGGTGAGCCGGAGACGAACGCGGCAGATAACACCGCTGCGGAGCCTGCCCCTGCGGCTGAAACCGCCACAACGGACGTCGCTGACAGCCCGGCCCCTGCCGGTGAACCGGAGATGAATGCAGCAAAAGCGCCGGCTGACACTGACGATATCAATGCCAGACTGGCTGCAGCTATGGAATATGAGGACGACGAGGCTTACGGTTACTATGACATACCGTCCTCCCCGGCCCCCCGGACTTCAGAAGCGAAAACACAGGCCCCCGTACAGGAAGACGCGCCCCTGCCGTTTCAGCCGCCAAAGAAAAAACAGGCGTCTCCTGACACCACGGAGCCGGACGGGATCCGGATAGAAAAACCCCCGGTGGAAAATGCCATCCCTTCTCCGCTTCATGATCTGAACGCCATCATGAAAGGCCTCAGTCACCCGTATAAAGGGATGGACCCGAAAGACATCAAATATCCGCTGGAAATGTTTCTGGACGGAAAGCATGTCTTTACGGACTTTGTCACACACCTGACGATGGCCAGCCAGGAAGCCAGCCGGGATGATCGTGCTGTGCTGGCCGCCTTACTGACGGCACAGAGCCACTGCCAGCTTAAAGGTGAAATTGAACTGACCGGCAGCGACGAATTCAAACAACGCGCCATCACGCTCATTGCCACCTACGACCTGAAACTGAAGCTGAAAAACCCGGAACAGGTTGAAATGCTGAATCAGGCGCGGGCCAGACTGCAGTCTGAGCCGGTACCGGGAGCCGAAGCAGAGCCCCTGTCGCCCGATGCGAATCATATTCTGTGGCAGGAGCGTTCCGCAAACGCCGCGTTCGCCCCGCAACAATCGGCACTACCACTGGATATCCTGCCTACCCGGATGGAAACAGCACTGCCCCGAAACGCCAGTCACAAGGAGGCATCCAGTGGCATTACCGGTCAGTTACTGGCATTCGGACCGGCGCACTATAACTTCGAAAAGCAAAAAGACCGGAGTTATTACGCACACCTGAGAACCCGACATGGTGAGCGTCTTGTATGGGGGATTGGACTCCAGGAGGCCATACGGAACAGTGGGCTGAAAACCGGCGACATGGCCACACTGACCATGCTGGGGAAAAAACCAGTGACCGTTCAGGTGAAAAAGCTGGGCGATGACGGTAAGCCTCTTCAGAACGAGCATGGCGGCTGGATCTACGAAGAGAAGGAGGTCACCCGCAACCAGTGGGAAGCCCGCCCTGCTGTGGATCCCTATGTGGATGCCCGCCATACCGGGCAACTGGCCCAACCAGGTGAGCTGCGCCCCTATCATCTGGGCGATTACCGGGCACTGCAGGCGGCAGTGGATGACATGGCCCGTAAAGCCGGCACCACGCCCCCGACGCTTCCTGCACTACCGGAAGTCCTGTGGGTACAACACAACGGACAGGGTGTGACGACACCCCGACAGACACCGGCGTCACCGGAACTGCCATCCCCTCACCCGGAAGCCGGAAAACTGTTGATGCAGCTTCAGGATGAAGCCACACAACAGCTTAAGCTTCTTCTGGTGAAAGCCCGGGGGGATTTTGTTCAGGGGCTGGTTCTGCATGAAGGCCGGCACAAACCTGTTCTTGGGCGTTTTGTCGGTCAGAACGGCGAGCGCCACCTGATACTGAATGAGGTGACACCACAGGGACTCCGCCCCATCGGGAAAGGAAATGCCATCAACAACGAAACCGGCAATTATAACAGTTTCGTCTTCACGCTGAAGGGCGAGCGGGAACGCATTCTGACGCAGGTCACCGCCCCGGAAAAGCGTCCGGCGGCACTGCAACAGGAACTCGGCTTCAGTCGCCCGCCGGTGCCGCCTGAACAGGTGACTGAAATGCGCAATAAGCCACAGAACGCTCCCCGCAGAAATCACAACGCACCACGCCCCGGCGTATAACACAGAGTCAGACCATGAAAACACTCATTGCCGCCATCATCATCAGCGGTTCATTTTGTGCTGCCGCCAGTGCGGCCAGTTGTCGGGCATCAACAGCGGCGCTTGCCGGTGCCCGGGCCGGTTACGCACAGGCACAGAAAGCCGCAGAATCCTGGGCACAGCGGGAAAAACAGGCCTCAAACGGCTTTCAGCAGTGTCTGGGGGAGATCAGTACCTCCGTCACCGTACCGGTTTTTCCTGATATCAGCGATTTACTCGACAAAATAAAGGATCAGATCTGCAGTGCCGCACGGAACAAAATTCATGACTACCTGCCCGGCACCATCGACCCGTGGGGAGACCTGGGCGTTAATCTTCCGACAACGTCTGTTCCCATAAAATCCCGGGCCGTCAGCCGGAATTCAGTTCGTCAGTCCTCTCCGGCACCGCAATCCACACCTGTTCCACGGGCCTCTTCATCCGGGGCCACACCAGATTACCCCTTTTCACTCTGAGCACCAGTGAGGACGCATTATGAAAAAAACTCCCGTGTCGCCTTCACCGAAGGAGACACCGTATTCTGCCGCCATTGCACAGCACCAGGAGGCCCGGCTTAACGTCGCCTTTACCCGGCGTCTGCTGGGCTGTAACGGCTGGCTGGGCATCGCCCTGACGGGCGCCATCGTCATCAACGGGTATCTGGCCTGGAAAGTGGCAAACCCGCCTCTGGCTGTCGTGGCCAGCGATAACGGACGCATTATCCCGCTGCCGGCCATGAACAAGGCCACCTACAGTGATGCCGACATCATTGACTACGGCGCACGGGCAACCCGGGCAAACTTCACACTGGATTTTGTGCATTACCGGGAACAAATCAACGCCCGTCAGGACAGCTTCTCTGACGAAGGTTTCGTCAGCTATTACAACGCCCTGGTGTCATCCGGCATTCTGGAAAAAGTGAAGGAAAAGCGGATGAACCTCTCCGTCCTGACGTCATCGGGCATCATCCAGAGTAAAGGCGTGCTCGATAACGGTCACTATGCCTGGCGGGTGCAGTACCCCATCACGCTGCGCCTGAACGGCCAGAGCACGTCACTGCCGCCCCAGAATTTCATTCTGACCATGATGATTGAGACCGCCGATCCCCGGCTGAAAAAGGACGGTCTGAACATCACCCAGGTGATCACACAGGAGCCCCGTTCATGACCCGATATCAGTCCGTCATTCTTGCGTCCTGTCTCCTGTACGGTCATGCCGTTCTGGCTGACGCAGCCGCACCGGGCAACACCGCGACCGGACAACAATGGCAGCCGGCCGTCAGCCTGAATAATACGGCAACCCCCGTATCGGGCATCCCGGCCCTGGCGGATGTGCCGGCACGACCTGTGGAGGGCGATGTTCCGCCCCCGCAGTCAGGAAACTCACAGGCATCACAGGCATCACAGACAGAAAGTGCCACGGATATCGCCCGGGCCGTCACCCTTCCCCTGCCACCGGAAGACATCACGCAGCTCCGGAAAGAGTACGACGACCTGCAGCGACACAGTGCTTTTAACCCGTTAACCGTGGTGCCCCGTATCCGTTCCCTGACCGTGAAACTGACGCCGGGGGCGTCACTGCCCATGATGCAGGTTCTGCCCAATTATCCCGGTGTCATCAACTTCACCGATCAGAACGGTGCCCCCTGGCCAGTGGCCGCACCGCCCATTAACGGAAATGAAAAGGGATTCCGGGTAGTGTATCTGCCTGACTCCCCCTCCATCGTGGTTCAGGCCAGCCGTGTATATGACACCGGCAGCGTGACGGTGTACCTGAAGGGGCTGGCCGTACCGGTCACCATCAGTCTGGCCAGCGGTTCGCCCTCGGACAAATCTGCATCACAGTTCAGTGACAGCCGTCTGGATCTGCGAATTCCGCAGACTCAGCCGGGCAAATCCCGGCCTGTACGCCAGGCAAAAGAAAAAGTCGGGCTGTATGACGACACCCTGCAGGCATTTCTGGACGGCGTTCCCCCCAAAGAAGCCCGTCCCCTGCGCGTGAAGGGGGATGTACCGGCCACACAGGCCTGGCAGATGGGAGACGACCTGTACCTGCGTTCCGGCGCGATCCTTCGTGATGAATTTGAACAGACGCTGACGGCGGCTGACGGTACACACGTCTGGAAACTGCCGGTCACCCCTTACGTCATGTTTTCCGTTCAGGGCAATAACGTCCCCCTGACCATCGAGCTGGAGTAATCATGGCCATAGAACAGGATGCCGCCCGCGACGGCAAAAAAACAATCGCGATCATCGGTGCAGCGGCGGTCTGCGTGCTGGGTGGAGCTTATCTGGGCTGGGGATACCTTTCCCGCAGCGAAGAGCCCGAATCACAGTACAACCTGAAGCGGGTTGCCAGCAGCACCCCCGTCACCAGTCAGGAGTCACAGCAGTACCGTCAGTTGTTATCACAGGCGAACCGGATGGGTGCCCGCCAGGCAGAACAGGAAGGCGACAGTTTTCTCGCGACCCTGAGTACCGGAAATCCGGAGCCGGAAACCCCGCCACCTCCGCAACAGGATGTTCAGCTGCAGACAACCCCGCCTGCCGGCACCAGTAACGAACAGCGCACCGGCGGCACATCCGACGGGAAACGGCAGCAAATCCAGGCCTTTCTGGCAAAGCTGGATCAGCGATGGGCACCGGGTGAAATGACGCTGGCTGCCACATTCGACGGGAATGCACAGGGCAACAGCGGTGAACACTTCAGTCAGTGGGCCGCCGACGTGCCCGGTCTGCAGACGGTATCACAGACCACCGCCGCACAGAGCACAGCCGGAAAGCCGGACAGCACGCCGGTCACGGCGTCATTTTTCATTCCGGGTCTGAGCCGTTATCCGGGCACGATGGAAACGTCCGTGGATTCGGATAATGCCGGGTCCGTGGTACTGGCCAGCATTCCGGCCGGAAAACTGCGCGGTGCCGTACTGTCTGCCCGGGGCGTCCAGCTGGCCGGTGACGGCGTTGTGATCCACTTCACCACCATGCAGTACGCCGGCCAGACCTGCACCATCGATGCTTATGCGCTCGATGATGAAACGCAGCGTTCTTCCGTGGCCAGCGACATCAACCACCGTTATTTCAGCCGGATCATATTACCGGCACTGGCGAACGGTATCGGCAAAGTGGGGCAACTGTACGAAGACAGCAATACCCAAATCCTGACCACCAACAGCGGCACCGTGACGGGCCGTACCGGCACGCCGGATGGCAAGGCCGTTGCCGGTGTTATCGCCGGCGGCATCGGTCAGCAGACCGCCCAGGTGATGACACAGGATGCCGCCCGGCTGCCACCGACACAGGCTGTTGTGGATCGTAAACAGGTCGTCTCCATCCTGTTTATGAAACCCGTTTCTGACAAAGACTGTCTCCCCTCATCAACAGGAAATTCATAAATGAAATCTTCACCGCATTTTGATCCCGATGCACCGGCACCGGAAGCGCTCTCACAGGATGAGCAGATAACCTGTACCCCGGAAGAGGAAACACCGCCCGCCACGCCCTTCTGGAAAAAACTCCCGTTCCAGCTGGGCGCTGTCGCCGTCGTGTGCGTGTTATTTGTCAGTTGTCGTATCAGCGGCAATACACCATCGTCCGGTGAAAAGGCGCAGTTTGTCAGCCAGGAAGAGGTCACACAGAGCAGAGAGGCAGCATCACCGGAACCGGTTCGTCCGCTCCCGGCAGAACACCCCCTGCCGGACGACGAAACGGATGCCCTGAATGACACCCTTGCGGCCCTGCGGATCCACGGCGAGAAAACCCGTGAAGGTCTGACGGCACTGGCCCGGCGACTGGATACGCTGGAAAGCCGTATCAACGAGCTTCAGAAACATACCGTTCCGGTTCCGACCGCCACCGCGCCTTCCCCTCAGCCAACCACCACCACGACCAGAAAGGCCCCACGTACTGCCCGAAGTGCCAGCCCACTCTCCGGCGTGAAAATCAACAGTCTCTATCCGGGACTGGCCTGGGTGACCTGGCAGGGCAGCAGCTGGGCATTGCGCCCCGGTGACCAGTTCGCCGGCACCACCATTCTGAGCATCGATGAGCAGAAACGGGAAATCGTGACCAGCGCCGGTGTGATCCGTCAGGGAGGCTGAACCTGTGGATATGGTCCAGATGCTGGCAAATGCCGTTAACGAACTCGCCGGACTGGGTACACAGCTTGTTCTGACCATTGCCAGTGTGGGCGGGATCGCCATTGTCATTCTGTATTTATCGGGCGTCGCCGGCCGCAGCCGGCGGGGCCAGTACACGGATTCAGGCGGCACATTCCTTGCTGTCCTGTTGCTGGCCTGCTGCGTGATTGCGCTGGAAAGCGTGGTGAACGCCGGCGGTAACCAGCTGGGGTTCGGCAGCGTTTCCTTTGATGAAATCGCTTACGTCCCCGAAGCCCGCTACGGCCCCGCTGCCGTGGCGGTCAATGCGGGCTTAACGGCCCTGCGGACCCTCGGATGGTGTTTTGTGTTAAACGGTTTGCTGCAATACCGTCGCTCACAGAAAGACGGCCACACCGGACTGTCCCGGGGAGACGACATCTCGTCCGGGACCAAAAAAGTCTTCAGTGGCCTGATGCTTATCTTCGGTCCGCAGGTCATTAACGCCCTTCAGAACACACTCCAGCTTCACTGGTAATTATCTTCACTTTAATCTCACAAGGATTTTTATGAACAACATAAAAAATATGCCCCTCCGTGTTTCCGTGCGTCTGTACATGCTGATGCTGAAACTGCACGAACTGAAACGCAAAGCCCTGCTGGTCACCCTGACCTTCCTCACCGGTGGGCTGTTTTCACAGCCTGCACTGGCCGCCGGTGACGATCTGGCAGATATATTCAAGGGCATTGCCAACTTCTTCACGGACCTGAAGGAGCCGGCAAAAGCCGTCGCCCTGCCTCTCGGGCTGTTTTTTGTCATTGCAGGCTTCGTCATGATGGCATCGAAAAAGAACAACCCACACATTACCAGTGGCAGAATTGCCCTCATCTTTTTTATCGGTCTCTGCCTGATTGGCCTGGGTCAGCTCATCAGCCGTGGTCAGAAGCAGATGAACCTGAACCCGGTCGGTGTGTAATTTCCTCCCTTACTCCCCTGCCTGCCGGCAGGGGATTTTCAGTCACGAGATCACCATGAACATACTGTCTCCACGGTGTGGTCTGGTTGCCCGCGTCAGCGGCAGACGCCTTCATGACGCCATCGATGCCCTGATCCATCAGGAGCAGCAACAGGCCGCACTGGCCGCCAGCGAAGGGCGTTACATGCATGCGGCCGCCCTTTACAAATCGCTGGCAAATCTGCAGACCCTGAAAGAGCAGATTGACCCGGAACATCCTCACGCACTGACAGACCTGACGGCGTATTCCGCATCCCCTGAGAACAAGGAGCATCAGCCATGCTGACGTTTTCACTGACACGTCCGGTAGCCGGCCATACCCCCTCTGCAACAGAAGAACAGCAGCTGAATGACCGCGCCCGTCAGGCCGGCACGCACTGTGAATACTGCGGATATGAATCGCCCCGGAACACGGCACTGTGGCGGGATAACAATCCCCTGCATGACAGCGATGACAATCTGACCGTGGCCGACCCGTTCTGCCGTGCATGGCGGGAGCTGGACACCATTAACGCGGATCGGGGCGTGATGGCCATTCTGCCGGGCCTGAGCGCCGAAGACTGTAATCACCTGCAACGGACGCTGCATCTGGCCCTGCACTGCGGTGACGGGGAGAAACAGCAGGATGCGAAAGCCCTTCTGAACTGGCTGACAGAACACCAGACCATTGCACAGATGCAAATCGGTTCGGCACATCCACAGGCCTGTGCGCAGGCCCTGCAGCGAACGCCGGAAGAGGCTGTCCCTGCCGTTCTGGATGCCTGGTGCAACCTGAGGCTGATCCTGAATCTGCACAGACTGCCGGCGCCGTCCCCCGACACCCTGACCCGACTGGAGGCCACCCCTGCCTGGTGGACCCTTCTGTATCAGCATTATCTTTCCGGAGGCTGACACATGCTGATTAACAAAATTGAAGATGCCCTGATGCATCTTTCCCGTTACACCCTCGGAAAAACGTTTCCGGATTACTGCGACCTGCGCACGGTTATCGGCCTGACGGCGGATGATAAGGTGCGGCACCCTTCGCTGGATGCCCCCTATATTCAGGTCACCCGGAATAACGATTATGTCACCTGCTTTGAAATCAAGGGGGCTTTCCGTGAATTCAGTTTTCACGAGGTGCCGGAAGGCACTGAACCGGAGCCGGGCACCTTTCAGTTCTTTATCCGGCGACTGAGTGAATCACTGAGTGGCGAGTTCCGGCAGACGGGCCATAAACTCAGTGTCATTTTTGAGTCCGATCCCCTGCGGGGCGCGGAAGAAACAGAACGACTGCTGACGCCCAAAAAACAGGCCTGTCAGCGCCTGCATCTGGCGCTTGACGACCTGATTGACGAGGAAATGCAGAAAATTTCCCCCTACGTGGCCCGGGAGCGCGTTCTGCTGGTTGTCTATACCGCCTTTGCCTCACTGCCACCGGAAGAACGCAGGGCTGAGATCAGACGTCAGAATGAAGCAACTCAGCCCCCGGAAGCGCGTTTTGGTCAGCTACCACTGTACGCCATGTTTGAAGGTCTCAAAATGCGCCACGATGCCTTCATTGATAAACTGGCGGCTGACATTGCGGACAATAATGACGGCGTTCTGCTCCGTATGATGGATGCCCATGAAACCGGGCAGGTGATCCGCGACGAAATTGAACGCAACAGCACGTCAACGGCGTGGCAGCCCCTGCTCCCCGGCGATCGCGTCCTGCCTCACGGACGTCTGCGGGAGAACGATATCAGCGCCTGCCTGGCACCGCATCTGAACTTCCAGTACTGCAACAGTAACGTGGAGACGGACGGTGAGGCCGTCAGGGTTGACGATATCTGGCACGGGCAACTGGCCATGACGCTGGCGCCGCAACGCCCGCAGACTTTCCCGGAACTGTTCCGGACGCTGCCCCGTCAGCTTCCCTGGCGGCTCCGCATCGATCTGATGCCCGGTGGTCTCCATCAGCTGGGCAGAAAAATGTCGTTGCTGATGTTTCTGGCCATATTTCCCTCCCTGCGCCCGCAGTATGAATCCGTGAAATGGCTGCTGGACAGGGACCGTATTGATCCGGTCGTGGTCATGAGCATCACGGCCAGCACCTGGCACAGGGATAAATCCCGGATGCAGCGCAACCTGACGCTGCTGAAAAAATCCCTGCAGGGCTGGGGCATTACAGACGTGACCGGCATCTTCGGTGATCCCATCCGTGCCTGGGTTTCCACCCTGCCGGCGGTATCCAGTTACAGTGGCCCGAACCTGCTGTTTGCCCCGCTGACCGAAGCCCTGCGTTTTCTTCCCCTGCAGCGTCCCTGCAGCCCGTGGGAAAAGGGCAATTTTGTGGTCATCACACCGGACGGCAAGCCCTTTGTGATACAGCTGGCCAGCTCACTGCAGGAAAAACACACGGAAATGATTTTTGGCTCCCCCGGCACCGGGAAATCCGTGCTGGCCAACAGTATTCAACTGGCCATGCTGGCAAACAGCAACACCGATCTGCCCTTTATGGCCTTTATCGACAAAGGCTTTACCGCCCAGGGGGTTTATGAACTCATCCGGGACGCCCTGCCACCGGAACAGCGTCACAAAGTACTGAGTATCGTCCTGCAGAATGACGACCATCACTGTCGTAACCCGATGGATATCCAGCTGGGCCTGAAAGCCCCACTCAGTACCGAACGGGAGTATATTCTCAACCTGCTGAAAAGCCTGTGTGCCGATCCCCTCACCGGTCTGCCGCCGGATGCCTCCACCAGTGCAGATATTCTGGGCCGGGCGGTGGACATGGCCTATCAGGAAAAAGCGGAACGCCCCACACGGTATGGTCCGGGTCTGGTGCCGGACGTGGATGCGGCCCTTCAGGAAGCCGACATCTTCAGCCGCCACCCGCCGGAATGGTGGGAAACGGCCACCTGGTACGAAATCCGTGACCTGCTGTTTGACAGCGGTTTTGTCAAAGAGGCGGCACAGGCGCAGGCACAGGCCGTTCCGCTGCTGAATGACCTGCAGAACGAGCTCAACAACCCGGTCCTGCGGAGTGAATTTGAAAAAGTCACCCGCCCCGGCAGTCAGGATCCTTTGCTGGACTACATATCCCGGTGTCTGACCCGTGCCCTGACCGATTACCCGATGCTTTCTGGTCGCACCCAACTGGTGGTCAACCCGGAAACCCGCATCATTGTGGTTGACGTCAATAACGTTGCCGGCAACAGCAAAACCCCGGAAGGAAAACTGCGCACCGGCATCATGTACCAGTTTGCCCGTCAGCTGGCCGGCGGTAACGACTTTTATCTTCCGCAGATCCAGAGCGAACTGTATGCCAGTCTGGATCCCCGCTACATTCCGTTACACCGCCAGCGCATCGAGCAACTGGACCAGGAAACCAAAACCATCTTTATGGATGAAATGCATAACATCAAAGGGATCCAGATCCTGTGGGAAGCCCTGCAGACAGAGGACAGGGAGCAGCGTAAATTCGGCGTCCGGACGGTTTTCGCCTCACAGTATCCGGATGACGTACCGGAAGACATGCTGAGATCGGCAAACTCCGTTTACCTGATGCGCGTCAGGCCCCGGGATTTTGAGCTGCTGGAGAAAAACTTCTCCGTGCCCCGCGTCACCCTGAACAGAATGCTGAAAACGCCCGCAGGCCCGGCCCCGGACGGTTCCGGCACCACATTCCTGGGCATCTTCAGGACGCAACGCGGGAACGTGGCGCAGATACTTCGCTTACCGGTCGGCCCCCTGAAACTGTGGGCACTGAACAGTACACCGGAGAACAGGGCACTGCGTAATCTGCTGACGCAGAAGCTGGGTTCCGCGCCCGCCCGCAGACTGCTGGCCACGCATTTTCCGCAGGGCAGCGCCAGCGCCCATATCGACAACCTCAAATCACAGAGCCGTGATGATGACCACACCAGCGCCGTCAACAAACTGGCCGCTGAGCTTATCGCCCGCCACGGTTATCTGCAGGGCTGAGTCCTGCTACCGGAGACATCTTTATGAATAAGAATGTTTTTCAGACAGGCATACGCCTGTCACTGTGTGCCGCCATCCCGGGCTGCCTGTTATGGCCACTGTCAGGGCTGGCGCTGACGGTTAACGTCAACTCCAGTGCCCCGATAACACAGCAGGTCGCCCCGGAACTGAGGAAGGCTAACCAGACACTCAGTGCCATCAGCGAGACGCAGAATCAGATTGGCGCAGCCATTAACGCCAACGGCGACAAACTGGCGACCATGATTGAGCAGTCCACACAGGCCATCCAGACACAGGAGGCCTTTGCGCGTCAGACAGAACGACTGGAAACCGCCCGGCGCAATTTTGCCGTTCCGGAAACCCTCTGTACCGAATCCACATCCGGCAGCGCCGTACAGGTCAGCCAGCAGGCAAGAGCCACGCAGGGTGCCCTGAAAAGCGGTTCAGGTATCAGTGGCAAACTGGCACAGGCATACAGCACCCCCACTCCACCACCGGATCAGATCCAGTTCCGGAGTGCCACACTGCACAGCCAGTGGTGTGATGCCACGGATTACGCCGCCTACGGCGGAACCGACCTGTGCCCGTCAGTATCGGACTACCCCGGCGGTGACAAACAACTCAGTTCACTGCTTGACGGTGCCGGTAAACCGGGCAAAACGCCCACCCTGACATTTGAGCAGAAGCAGACGGACGCCGCCATGACGTATGCACTGAACAGCACGCCTCCCGGTGCTGGCCGGCAGCTCAGCAAGGGCGAAGTCAAAACCACGTCAGGAAAGCAGTACATCGGACTGCTGACACAGTATCAGGCCATTCTCGATGCAGCCCGGGAGCCCCAGCTGGCCATGATTGCCGCCAGTCAGCCTGACGCCACCACCCGTGATGTTCTGAAAGAAGTACTGCAGGTGCCTTCTGCGAAGAAGTTCTTTAACGACACGGCATCAGACCAGGCGAAAAAACGCGGTGAAATGTCCGCCCGTGAGTTTGAGGCCTTCGAAGTGGGCCGACGATACGCCAGCACAGACTGGCTGAGTGACCTTCAGCAAATGGACGGTGACAACCTGATCCGGGAACTCATTCGCGTTCAGTCGCTGGGTAACTGGTTACTGCTGGGACTGAAACAGGAGCAGCAGAAAGCCAACATTCTCGCTGGTCAGCAACTGGCCATACAGGCGACCGAACACTTCCGTCCTCAGCTGGCCGGGAAAATGGAGCAGGTTAAAGCAGGTACAGTGCGATGAAAGGTAACAGACTGAAAAAAACGGCCTGGTATACGGCCAATATCTTTATTCCCCTGTCAGAAACCCGCCTGACCATGAACACCATCATCCCGTCATGGAAAAAGCAGTTTCAGCGTATCCGTGTGGCCAGAAAACTGATGGGACGTCGCCAGCGGAATCAGACGGCTTACACATGGGCTGAGGCCGTGGCCCTCACCGGGATGACACCGGCACAACTGGAACAACGTTTTCTGCGCCGGAAACGGCTGTACCTGGTGTTAAGCGCCCTGCCGACCCTGCTGGCAACGGGGCTGCTGCTGGCCCTGCTGGTCAGCGGTATTTACACCCCGATGGCGTTTATGCGGGTCGTGATAATGGTTCTGATCCTGCTGGGACTGGCCAGCATTCCTGGACTGCAGGTGGTGATCTGCAGCTGGCGACTGTGGCAGCTGCGCGAACAGCGGGTCAGCGTTGAGGAACAGGGCACGTTCCGTGACTTTACGCATGGCAGACCGTGGATACGTGAATCGCTGTTGTCGTGGTACTGATAAATTGTCCGCTCCTCTGCGGAGCGGATGCCATGACTGAACAGATTGTTTTTTGATGCCAGAATACAGTGCTACAAACCTGCCCATTACAAACTGTATTGATAATGATGTTTGGTAATAAAGAATCATGAGATGGAAATGCACATGTGTACAGATAATACATTTAAAAGCAGCTCTGAAATTCCCTGCAAACCATCAGCGCGTTTGCAGGAATCCATGCGCCAGACTGAAGAACTGATGGCTCAGGAACGTCCCTGTTTCGAAAATGCTGATGAACTGCTGTCAGAATAACCGAACTCCGATAGATATCTTCGCAAAAGGAAAGGGCAATGCAGTCACTACCCATCACCATGACCGGATAATTGTGTATTTATATTACATTCTGACTATAATAGACATTCAAGCCATTTTAGACAGAAGGTGATTTATGCAAATCATTCCCGCGCAAGTTGCAAAAAACCAGTTTGGTGATTTACTCATGAAAGTTCAGCGTGAACCTGTAGAAATTAGTAAACATGGTAAGCGCGTAGCCGTGGTCATTTCTCCTGAAGAATATGATCAGTTTGCACAACTTAAGTTACAGAATCTGAAGTCAATTCTGGCTGAATCCATTGCACAAGCTGATCGTGGTGAGCTGCATGACATAGAGGATGTCTTTTCACCTTTAACAGATGAAGAACCCGGGAGTCATACCAGGTAATGAGTGTTAAATTCACCACAGAGGCCAAAGAGCATATTCGCAACATCAGGCGTTATTCCATACTACATTGGGGTGTTAATGTTGGTGAGGCTTACTCTGCAACATTACGTGAAACTATGACGAAAATTCTGGATCGCAAACCATCTCCGGGAAGGGATCGCAGCAACGATCTTGCAGCAGGAGTGCGGAGTTTTCCCGTTGAAAGCCATATAATTTACTACCGTGAGGTTCCTGCGGGTATTGAAATACTGGCGGTATTACACCAGGCACAAGACCCACATAATCATCTGTAAAAAAAGGGGACCTTTACCCCCTTTTTTCGTACTACGCATTCTCCATTCAGCACAGCAATGGCCACCGGAAACTAAAATTTAAGAGTTTTTGAGTTACAGACGTTAAAAGAATGAAAAAACAATTATAAAAGAGGGCGCTTGCCCTCTTTTTATTATGGAGTTATGAATGAAACTTAGTAAAAACAATATCACTTATCTGGAAAAACATATATTCCCGATATATTTCAGAGATGAATCAGGCTACACGCTGTCTTTTATCTGCAAAAAAAGAATCCGCCGGGCTGACGCCCTTTGTCGTACAGTGCTTTATTTTTCGCAGGAACGCCAGGATGCTGTTTCACCGGAAAAAAGAATGCAATATCTGTCTCCTGATGACAGCCTTGCGGCATTCCTGTTTGTTATTGCATCCCCGATAACACCAGAGCTCAGGCATCAGTTAAACGAGTATCTTGATACCCTTCCCGGTCAGTTCATCAGGAAAATAAAACCGACCTTATGGCTTGCTGTGGTATCACCGTGGCATAAAAAAACAGCGCAGCTTGTTCTGCCGAAAGTCAGCGCCATGCTGGCATTTTACAGCACTCACCCCGATGAACTGGAACAGCAGACAGCCGAATTTCTGGAACGCCACGAAAGACATAACCCAAACAGGTCAGGGGGCCATTAATATGAGCATGTTTTATAAACGCGGTCATTACCCCCTGCTCAATAAACAGGATTTCCGGAAATTAATGTCGGACAAGGAAATACCGGACAGATATATTTCTGATGTTATGGAGATTATTTATGGCTCCCGGTTTATTGATGATGACATCACCCCACCTTATGTCATCTGCAAAAACCATTTTCATACTGATGAAGATGCCACCTTTATCCAGCGTCTGAACCGGCTCTGGATTATTCCGTTATATCTCGTTTTTATGCCCTTTCAGTGGCTGTTCTGCGGCAATACCGGTTTTAACCATAACTCCCGTCTGGCGGCCTTTCTTTCCCGGCTGACAGGAATTAAATAAAGTCGTATTTACTTCCCGCAGTCACTGTACCTCCACCCGGTTTATCACCTGATAAAAGCACCTTCTCTTACAGGATAATTTATGACATACCTGCGTAAACTCTTTGCCGGCATCATGATAAGTATGATGTGGATCCCCCTGGCTTTCGCAGACTCTTCCGTGAATTTTGACACGATAGAAGCGGCAGCCAAAAGAAGCTCTGACCTTTCACGCCAGTTACTGGTGATGATTTTTGGCGACGTGGTGACAGATCCGTTCTCCACGAACACCACCATGATTGGCGAACTGTTCTATATCTTCAACGGTGTGGCTTTTGTTCTGGCCGTTATCTGGTTTCTGATTATTGGCCTGAAACACATTGCCCGCGCAGGTCATCTGGGAAAGGTCTTCAGCGGTGGTGACACATCAGCATCCGTGGTAACGACCGTTGCCGGCTTCATCACACTGGCCCCTACAGTATCCGGCTGGTCTCTGGCTCAGCTGATGTTCCTGTGGGCAGTTTCGGTTATGGGGATTGGCAGTGCCAATCTGATGACGGACAAAATTGCCGACCTGCTGGCATCCGGTTTTTCGCTGACTCACCAGCCCGTCGCGCCCCAGACGGTCAGCGCCGCCCGTTCAATTTATGAAATGAACCTGTGCATGTACGGCGTCAATAACGAACTCAGCAGCATGTACAGCCGCTATGGTCAGGGTGGAACGCCGCTGATGACCATCCGGAAGCTGTCTGATGGTTTCGAAATCTCAAACGGCAATGCCCGGTGCGGTTCTGTTCGTCTGCCTGATGCATCCGGCAGCAAGAACAACTTCTGGGGGCTGTTCGGCGCTTCCGTCGATACCAGCAACATCACCAGTGCCCAGCAAAACGGGCTTAACCAGATGCAGAACGACCTGAATCAGGCTGCCTCCCGTTTTGTGACCGCGCTGATAAACAGACAACAGACAGGTAACGGTGAACTGCCGGATGCTGAAACGGATATACAGAATGCAGCACGGGCATTTGAAGACCGCGTTAATCAGGCAGTACAGGCTCAGGACAACGGAAATAAACTTACCAGTGCCATGACGGAACAACTGAAGAAATACGGCTGGTTATCGCTGGGCAGCTGGTATCAGACTTTCGCCACAGCCAACCAGAAGGTGAATGATGCTGCGGCACTGAAACCCGTTGTGTCCGGGATATCCGGCATTGGTGAAATTGGAGCAGGCGACACACTTAGCGGTGTCATAACAGCCTATCAGGCGCAGCTGCAGAACACATCGTACACACCACCGCTGGGAGCACAGGATATAAAAAATACAAAATCAACCTCCAGTGCAGATGACGCCAGCTCGGTTTTTGTGGGGCTGTTTGGTTCGCCGGGGCAACGATTTGCAAATTATCTGGCAACATCGTTCTCAAACGATGAATTCAGCAACTATGGGCAAGTAAACCCATTACTGAAAATGAAAAATATTGGTGACTATACATTAATAGCATCAGAAGCGATTTTAACCGGCTTTACTGGCATCAAAGTATTGCTGACAATGGGAACAGAGGGATTTTGGGGAAATATTGCAAGTTTTATTACAGCGAATGGAACAAACGGGGCTAAAGCTGCTATAGACACACTTAGCCCTCTGGTTTATTTTGTTCTTATTGCTCTTTTTTCTATAGGTTTATCCTTATCAATATTTCTTCCAATGATACCTTTTATCTATTGGTTATCAAGTGGTGCAAACTGGATCGTAAGTGTACTTATCGGATCCACGGGTGGATCATTATGGGCAGCAACTCACATTGGGACCGAACATGATAAAGGTAGCAGAGCGGCTTATGGATATATATTCTTAATAGATGGAATGATTCGACCTATGTTAATGGTTTTAGGCTTTGCATTTGCAAGCCTAGCAATCGTTGCCATTGGCACACTTCTGAACATTCTATTTGGCCCGGCTCTAGCTAACTCTCAGATGAATTCATTAACAGGGATTGTTTCCTTATTAGCCATCTTAATGATATACGCAAGAATTTGTACAACTACCGTCTGCAGGATATTCTCTTTATTAGTCACAATGCCTGATTATGTCATTTCATGGCTTGGTGGCAGAGAAGCAGCCAGTATACTCGGTAACATGGTCGATGAAACCAAAAGCATTTTTGCCTCCTTTGGACATGGACTACAGAGAACACCCGGTGTACACTTATCTAAACAACCACAGAAACCAACTAACGCAGATGGAATAAAATAGAATACGGAGTTGAGTAAATGAAAAGAGTAGTTTTCTTTTTTAGTTATATACTGTTCTTCCCCTGCCTTTTGATTGGCTGCATGCTCTTTTATTCTTACATGAAAAGTATCCCTTATGTTGAACACCCACCATACGGAGCTATTGTTTTTTTATTGCTAGGGATGACTTATCCTGCCCTTTACTTTGCTTATCAAAATAAAAACAAATCAAAAGTAAAAACAATATTGAAAAAAATAGATTTCCCATCAAACACATTCTCTCTCTCAAATAATATTGATGGCAAATATGCCTTTATAGATCCAATTCGCGGGGAATTCTTAATTATAATAAATGGGAAGACATCTTCTACTGTCGTTAAAGGGTATAACTTCCAACAGTGGGGGGGGTATGATTATGACGGAAATGGAAATATCACATTAAAGTTTAATGATTTTGAATTCCCGTCCATTACAATTTCTCAAACAAAGCCTAATGCCAAAGAGTTTTGCAACAAACTGGACATAATGTGCAGCCCGTCTTACTCCCCTAAAGACGAACGCAGTTTCTATAAACACGTTCAGCAAAGTTTGGCTACCGCATAAGAAAAAAGGTCCGCATTTCTGCGGACCTCTGGCTTACCCTGCCTACTGTCTCTGGTTCGTTTCTTTGTTATAAGAAACTACCAGTTCGAGCATTTTTAGTATAAAACACTGAAAATCAGGCTGTCAAACCAGCATAAACACTGAAGGAATATCGTGCGTGAATAAACAGGACTACTTATACAAGTTACGACGTTGTAAAAACATCACCACACTGGACAAAGTCATCGAGCGAAACAGATATCTCATGTCAGACAAGGAGTTTATTGAATTTCTTTCTGCCGCTGACCACCGTTACGCCGAAATAAAAATGGGCAAACTTTACGATAAAATACCTAAACCTGTCTGGTCTCTGGTCTGAGAATTGCAAATTGTAAATATCAATTTACGCATAAAAGAAAGCAGGAGTCCGGGGCATACCAACCGAACTCCTGCAAACAGACGCAATACATCTGTCAGGGTAAGGAGAAAGCGTTATGACTGATAACGCCTTCTCTTTTATACCACTAAATTTCACCAAAAAAGTCTGATTTTCTTACCTTCACCTGACAGGAAGCTCTCTCTCCAGATAACTTAGGTTAATCTGTACCCATTTACAGTAACAAGGAGTTCCTTAATTCATGAAAAGCATGTTTCCTGTCTGCGTTCTTGGCCTCAGTGTTCTGCTTTCCGGATGTGGTCAGACGGAACCAACTGAAGCAGAAATCAACAACACACTTAAAGCCTCGTTTGAAGAAGCAAATGCGCAGATATCAAAATCAGCCGGAGCTGTCGGTTCAAAACTACTGGAATCAATGAGGATGAAGTTCATCTCGGCTCGCAAAATATCATGTGAGCAAACTGGTTCTGAAAATAAATACAACTGCACCGTTGAAATTCAGAGTGAAGTGCCTATGGCAGGCGTCCAGAAAGCCACGACATCTCTACCCTTTATAAAAGACGGTGATAAATGGATCGTCGTCATGCCTGTAAAATAGCCCTGTACTGACAGGAATATTTATATACGGGAGTTATTATGGCAAGAATTGATATTAATGTTCCTTATAATGAAAAGGATGAGGCTAAAAGACTCGGTGCTCGCTGGGATGCCACCAGAAAAACCTGGTATATACCTGATGGTGTGCCCACAAGTGATTTTACCCGATGGTTACCATCCGGAAATGTGCTGTCGCCTTACTGGTTCATTGCCCAGACACCAGACCAGTGCTGGAAATGTGGCAGGGAAACGGTAATGACGTCTTTCCTGTTACCTGCCGGCCATAAAACACTTGAGCAGGATGAAGATGGGCAGCTTTACTGGCAAATGCAGGAGTTGCCCGCCTTTATCTTTTACGTGGATGATATCCCCGAGCAAAATCTGAAAAAACTGGAGCAGATACGCCATTATCTGGCAAAAGACTACAGTAAAACAGTGAATGCCCGTTACTGGATGAATCATTGCCAGCACTGCCATATGAAACAAGGAGACTTCCAGTTACACTGCGAAGTTGACAGTGCATTCTCTCCGGATTCGCGGGAGACTGCGTCTCGTATAGTCCTTTACAGGATAGAGCAGGAATTCAGTGCCTCGTGTAGCGGAACTTCTCTGTCCCATCTTCACTTTCGTTGTGGCGCTGAAGAAAGTTTTGCCACAGCCGGTGAATGGCTTCCTTTCATGAAAATCATCTGACAATAAGCCCCGACATTCGTCGGGGCCTACCGCAACGGATGTCCGACAGGAGCATCCGTTTGCTGGCACTGATATATCTGCCAGATATCGACCTGTATTGATTGTTTTTTATTCTTTCTCATTTATAATTTTGCTATACATGTATAGCATACATATCTGGAGTTGTTACATGCTGGCTATTCGGTTACCTGATGATATTGAAGCCCGCCTGAATTTTCTGGCAAAACAGACCGGTCGGACAAAAACATTCTATGCAAGAGAAGCTATTCTTGCGCATCTGGAAGATCTGGAAGATTACTACTTATCTGCAGATACTGTGGCGCGGATTCGCCGCGGTGATGAGGCCACTTACACGTCTGAAGATGTGAGGAAATCGCTTGGCCTGGACGATTAATTACTCTGAACGCGCTCTCAAATCTTTGCGCAAAATGGATAAACAGAACGCGCGGCGAATTGTCGATTTTATGGAATTGCGAATTGCCACTTTACCCGAACCACGGATATCCGGAAAACCACTTAAAGGCGAACTCGGTGTGTTCTGGCGCTACCGGGTTGGGGATTACCGGATTTTATGTGAAATCAGAGACGAAGAGCTTGTAATCCTGGCAGCCACTATTGGCCACCGTCGGGAAGTATATGACTGTTAAACAACACAAAAGCAGTATTGATCCGCTTCTGGATCATTACACCAATAATCACTAATTAAAAAGACCATATCTGATATTTTGCATGAAAGCCTTTCAGCTAATGGTCGGAGGCCATGCCCGAAGGCCTGAGATAAAAAGGTCCCGATTAAACTTTACGTTCAACTCGGGACACTAACCACATAACCTTGACACATGGCAGGTTAACACTCTCTCCAACAAAAGAGAAAGTGTAATGAGCGTCTCCCTGCTCATTTAGTTCCAGCAAGATTGATTAATCACGAAGAGACTAAATTATCAGCCTCTGGTAACACTCAGAGATGGAAAGCAACGCGTTTCCCACCAGGAAGTGTTATATCAAGGCTTAATTCTCCGCCTAAAGCCTCCACATACCGCTTTAAGGTAGATAACCGGGGATCATTATCCGCTTGTTCAATTTTCGCCACTGTCGGTTGCTTAACCCCCATAGCCCGGGCCAATTGAGTCTGTGACATATTCAGCTCATGACGAAGAGACGTTAAAGCAATCTCCTGCCGAAGTTCCTGAGCTCTGGCTGCGATACGCGCCTGACTTTCAGGGCTGCGTGCAGCAATCATATCTTCTAAGGTTCGCATATCGTTTCCTTATTTTCTAATGTGTTTGCTGTACTCTGAATCAGCAAGGTTAATCATATCTTTGTAGAATCGTTTTTCATTCTGGCCAGCTTTATTACCGGCACACAGTACAATGGCCATTCTGTTTGGATCAAAAGCGAAAAACGTCCTAATCGGCTCACCTGCAAACTGTACCCGCAATTCTTTCATATTGGGGTACTTTGATCCCTTTAGCGTATCAACATAAGGTCGTCCAAGATTTGGACCCACTTCTTTCAGGATCTGCAACACAGATAAAATTTCATCCTGTAAATCTTCACTTTGTGTATCAAACCACTCATCAAAACACTCAGTTGTTATTACGTTCCACATAAAATGCCTATAACGTATTCGCTATAATCAACATATAGCTAGTTCACTATAAACTCAAGGGGAACGACATCATTTTAAAATGATCGCTCTCCGCTTCACCTGGGCTGGTTCCACACCAAAATCCAGATAACACCATCTTACTTACGTTTTCTTTCGTCATGCAGAACGCATTCAGCGTGCTGTATCTGTTTGTTATTCCCTTAATGTGAGAAACCACTATGTCCCACTATCCTCACCCTCAGCAGGGTAACGATTCCGGCATGATGATCCTCATCTGCATTGCTCTGGTCTGCGTTGTCGTCTGGGCAATACATCCTTCCCTGTTCTACGGGTATTGCGTGCTGCTCTATTATTTGTGGGGCATCGTTGATTTTCCGGCCATACACGTCACTGTCGCCGGGAAAATGAATCTCCTGGTGTGGGGCAGTCAGCGCAGCGAAACCCTCTCTGCCGGGCAGATGATTGAACTCATGAATCAGACTGCCGGCATTCTCTTTCTCTTTTTCGTTCCGGTGGCCATCGGCGGCATCATCATCAGCCGGAACCATCCGGCAAACCGGACACGCAGGCCCATTAATATTCATACCCTGCCGCGCATCATGTCCGCGTTTTCACCAACGGTTATCCCCTTACTGCAGTATGGCGACCCCGGAACCCAGCTTCTGAACACCGATCCCCCGGAACACCGGAGTGCCATGTCGCCGGACGAGTTTGCCACAAAACATAAACTGGTGATCGGACAGCGCCTTGACCGGGAACGGGCAAGGCAGGTCTTCGAAGCGCAGGCAGGTACACCGCTGCAGGGACCGGAAAGTTTCAGTCCGGCAGAGCGCGCACTGGTTGCTGTGTTCGGTCTGCAGGAGTTCTGTAACGATCGCACCGCTGCCATCGGACTGCTGGATACCCTGAACCGTTCATGTGGCCAGCCACAGAAAGAACATGGCGGTAAACGCGGTTATCCCCGTCTCAGCCTGGCTGACAAGGCATTCCGTCGCGTCATGGCCACACCGGCAGCCAGAGCCTGGCTGCGGCAGCACAGCACCACACGGACAGCCCTGTCAGCACTGCATGCCCGTGATATCCGTCTTCCCTGCATCCAGTTCCGCTGGCTGAAGGGACTGGACAGGACGCTGTTCTACGTTCTGGCTTCATCCGACCGTCCGAAGGTCTTCGTCGAAGGTGCCGGCGTGATAGCCACCGCGCAATGGGAAACCCTGATTGCCGGTATGTCAGCCCGCCTGCAGGTGGCCATTCCACCGGTGGATGACCCGACCGCAAAGGCGGTTGACGGACTGGAAGCAGATCTTATCAGCACCGGTATGGTGGTGGAGATGCACCGGGCCGATCCGGAAAACCTGAAATCTCCGGACGCCGGAGAACGTGACGACCTGTTCTTCTTTGCCCCCAATGAGGCACTGCAGCAGGAAGAGCCTGCCCCGTCACCACCCGTCGCCCCGGAACCGGACAAACCGACAGACAGTGCCATTTCAGAAAAACACGCCCCTGTGGCCTCACAGCCACAACAACCTGAATCACCCGACAGCCCGGAACAGAAACAACCGATGCGTTTCCGCCCGGGCAGGAAAAACTGAGGAGTCCAGATGAACACCTACACCATTCGTATGGAGTACGGATGCCTGAGCGCATTCACCGACAACAACCAGCCCGTTTTTATGTGTTTCCCCGGCAAAAATCCCCGTTTCTTTCTGCAGGGTAACTGCCTGATGCACGACAGTGACCATCACGCCACGCGGATAATTTACAAAGCCCCTTCGGTTGAGGATGCACAGGCCCTGCTGCAGGCGATACAGAAACACCGCCGGCAGCGTCAGAATCAGTCAGCTGTGGCCGCGATTATTACGGGTATCCTGTTCGTGATTACCCTGCTGTGGCTGGTTATCTCATGGCCGGCCACCATCACGCTGACCTTTGATGAACCGGTTTCTGCACCGCAGCAGGTCCATACCGTGCCCGCCAGTGCATCTCCACAGCCACTGGTGACAGAAAAAACACCGTCACCACAGGCAGTCCGGGCTGAAAGTCTGAAAAAAGCAGCCGCCAGTGGGCGTTACACTGTCACGCTTTCAACCGGACATCCACGGACAATCTACGTGTTTTCAGACCCGCTCTGTCCGCATTGCCGGACACTGGAGCCGGTTCTGGATGTACTGGCGCAGGATTACAACGTGGAAATATTCCCGGTCAGCGTCATAGGCAGCACCGACTCACAGAAACTACTGTCCCCTCTGCTCTGCCTGTCCGCTGAGGAACGACCAGCACACTGGAAATCCCTGTTTGCCGCTGATGCCGGTATGGCGCCGGGCAGCAAAACCGATGCCCCCGCCACAGAATGCGAGGAGGGCCTGCATGCCCTGAACATCAACAACCGGGCTTTTAACTACTATCAGCTACCGGGCACGCCGCAGTTACTGGCCGATGATGGTCGGGAAATCCCGCTTTCCGTCCTGACCAGTGACATACGTCTGGCAGATTTTCTGCAGGAGAAAACGGATGGCCATTGATTCCCGACCGGTGGACAAACAGCGGGTACAGCACGTCATCAAATCCACCTGGCTGATGGACATCCTGCAGTCCCCTTTTTCCCTGCAGGCCGGCATGCTCGGCGGGCTGCTGTTATGCCTCATTGCCCCGTGGCTGTTGCTGCCCTGCCTGATATGTGCCGTTATCTGGCTGTTTGTCTTTACGGATCAACGCTTCCGTCTGCCGCTGAGGATGCCCACGGACATCGGCGGTTTTGATTATTCAACAGAACGTGAGGAGGCAAACGAATTCACACTACCCGGTGGCTTCTTCCGTTTTATCAGACGCAAACTCACCATTGAAAAAGCCGGCGGCATCATGTGCCTCGGCTATGCCAGGAAACGTTTTCTGGGGCGGGAATTATGGCTGACCCGTGATGACTGTCTGCGTCATATGCAGTTACTGGCCACAACCGGTTCCGGGAAAACCGAAGCCCTGCTCTCCCTGCAACTGAATGCCATCTGTCTGGGACGGGGATACTGTTACTCTGACGGCAAGGCGGAAACAGCCCTGGCATTTTCCTCATGGAGTCTGCTGCGGCGCTTCGGGCTGGAAGATAACTTCTATGTACTGAACTTCCTGAATGGCGGGCGCGACAGGTTTGATGAACTGCTCAGCAATGATCGTACCCGGCCACAGTCCAACACCATCAATCTGAGCAATAACGCCACCGCGTCTTACATTATTCAGCTGATGGAGTCCATGCTCCCGAAAGTGGACGGCAGCTCTGCTGACTGGCAGGACAAAGCCAAACCCATGCTTTACGGACTGGTGTACAGCCTGCACTACAAGTGCAAACGGGAAAACCTGCGCTTTTCTCTCACCATGCTGCACAAACATCTGCCGCTGAAGGAAATGGCGGCCCTCTACATCGAGGGCAAACAGAACGGCTGGCACCAGGAAGGAATTAACGCACTGGAGAACTACCTGTCAACGCTGGCCGGCTTTCAGATGGACCTGGTCAGCCGTCCGGGCGAATGGGATCAGGGCGTCTTTGACCAGCACGGCTTCCTTATCCAGCAGTTCTCCAAAATGCTGGCCATGTTTAACGACGTGTATGGCCACATTTTTGCAAACGACGCCGGTGACATTGATTTACGCGACGTCCTGCACAATGACCGGGCACTGGTCGTTCTCATCCCGGCGCTGGAGCTCTCCAAATCAGAGTCCGCCAGTCTGGGTAAGCTCTATATTTCGGCCAAACGTATGGTCATTGCCCGCGACCTCGGTTATCACCTGGAAGGGAAACGCGAAGAGGTTCTGACGGCTAAAAAATACCGGAACCGCTTCCCTTTTCCGGACATTCACGACGAGCTGGGCAGCTATTTTGCGCCAGGCATGGACGATCTTGCCGCCCAGATGCGCAGCCTCGGCTACATGCTGATTATCTCGGCCCAGGACATTCAACGCTTCATTGCACAGTTCAGGGGGGAATATCAGACCGTAAACGCCAACCTGCTCGTGAAATGGTTCATGGCCCTGCAGGATGAAAAAGACACCTATGAACTGGCCCGCTCCACTGCCGGGAAGGATTATTTTGCCGAACTGGGCGAAGTGAAACGCTCCCCGGGACTGTTCGGTAATCAGTTCGAGGATGCCACCACCACGCATATCCGGGAAAAAGACCGCATCAGCCTGGATGAGCTGAAAAACCTCAATCCGGGAGAAGGGTTTATCTCCTTCAAAAGTGCACTGGTCCCCTGCAACGCGGTTTACATTCCGGATGACGAAAAACTGTCGTCAAAACTGCAGATGCGCATCAACCGCTTCATTGACATCGGACGTCCGTCAGAAGCCGAACTGGTGAAAAAGAATCCGTCGCTGGCCCGTCTGCTTCCGCCTGACTCACAGGAAGTCAGTCTGGTGCTGCAGCGTACGGACGAAATCATGGCGGGTATGGCACCCCGCAATCCACCACCGATTATGGATCCCATTCTGGCCCGCCTGGCAGAAATCACCCTTAACCTCGATAACCGGTGTGATATCAGCTACACCCCGGAACAACGGGGGATCCTGCTGTTTGAAGCCGCACGGGAGGCGATGAAACGCAGCAAAGGGCGCTGGTTCCTGGTACAGACCCGACACCGGCCAATCAATGTTTCCGATCAGGTCGCCCATAAGCTGGCCACTGACAGCACGGCATTCCCTTCTCCTGTAAATACCGATAAAGGAACAGATCCACAGTGAAACTCAAACACACTCTGGCTATCACCACCATGATGGCCGCACTCTTTATTCAGCCGGCCTGTGCAACACCGGATCTTCAGGCGGGCTTTTCGCCGGAAGGCTCTGCGCAGCAGTTGATCATGCGCACCATCAGTGACGCCGGACAGGAAATCCGGCTGATGGGCTACTCATTCACCTCACCGGAGATTGCCCGGGCACTGATTGACGCCAGAAAGCGGGGTGTGGATGTCCGGGTTGTCCTCGATGCTGAAAGTAACAATAACAAATACAGCCGGGCGGCCATCAACACACTGGTGCTTGCCGGCATCCCGGTCAGAACGGTGAACAGTTACAAAATACTGCATGACAAAGTCATCATCACTGACCGGACAAATGTGGAAACCGGCAGCTTTAACTTCAGCCGTGCCGCCAGTCGCGCAAATTCAGAGAACGCCATCGTGATCAGGAACGCGCCTGATATTGCGAAAGCGTATCTGAAACACTGGCAGTCCCGCTGGGAACAGGGGCTGGCCTGGACACTGCCCTACTGACAGAGGCCGGGCTGCCGTTCATGCAGTCTGTCCGCTTTCTGACACTTACCTCTCTCCCCTCAGTTAATCCATTCATCTTCTGTTGATATAAAACGGAGACTAAAACCCATGAGAAAAACGATTGGCTACTCAATGGTGGCCGTCCAGTTCTTTGCGCAAATTTCCCCGGCATTTGCCGGCATCTTTCAGGCTGATGAACAGTCTGTGGCACAGACGGCTATGGAGGCCGGACGTGTGCTGCAGGGCAGCAACAGTGGTGATGCCGCCCGCCAGTTGCTGACCAGCCAGGCTTCCGGGCAGGCAGCAGATGCGGTTACGCAGTGGCTGAATCAGTTCGGTACAGCAAAAGCGCAGCTGAGCGTGGACAGTGACTTCTCCCTGAAAGGTTCGTCGCTTGACGTCCTGCTGCCGTTTTACAACACCCCGAAGAACGTGCTGTTCACCCAGCTCGGGATGCGGGATAACGACGGGCGATTCACCACCAATGCCGGACTTGGCCACCGTTACTTCACGGATAACGGCTGGATGCTGGGATACAACGTGTTTTACGACGTGGACTGGCGCAACACCAACCGCCGCTACGGGATTGGCGTGGAAGCCTGGCGTGATTACCTTAAAGTATCCGCCAACGGATACAAACGTCTGTCCGACTGGCGGCAGTCCCCGACCGTTACCGATTACGACGAGCGTCCGGCTGACGGCTGGGATATCCGTGCCGAAGGCTGGCTGCCTGCGTACCCGCAACTGGGCGGTAAGCTGGTTTACGAGCAGTATTACGGGAATGAAGTGGCGCTGTTCGGTGAGTCTGAACGCCAGAAAAACCCTCACGCCATCACTGCCGGCGTCACCTGGACGCCGTTCCCGCTGCTGACCGCCGGTGTCGATTACCGCCGGGGCAAAAACGGGGCTGACGACACCCGCCTGAACCTCGGTCTGACATACCGTATCGGTGAACCGCTGGCGCATCAGCTGGACAGCAGCCGGGTGGGCGCACAACGTTCACTGGCCGCTAATCGCCTGGAACTGGTGAATCGTAACAATGATGTGGTGCTGGAATACCGCAAACAGACGCTGATTACCCTGCAGCTACCGCCGGATGTGTATGGTGCAGAACTGACGACCGTCACCCTGACGCCACAGGTGAATGCAAAATACGGACTGTCCCGTATCGAACTTGACGATGCAGAACTGCGTCAGGCCGGCGGGAAGATTATCAGCAACACCGGCAACCGGATTACGCTGCAGTTACCCGCCTGGTCTGCCGAAAATCAGAGTGTCACACTCTCCGGCAGGGCACGGGATACCCGTGGCAACCTCTCTGATATTGCCCGTACCCGTATTCTGGTGTCCCCGGCAGCACAGCAGCAACTGGCTGTCAGCACGGATAAAACCACGGCCACTGCAGACGGTGCGGACAGTGTGCGCTACACCCTGACCGTCACGGGCAGTGACGGAAAACCGGTCAGCGGACAGGCTGTACGCTGGGAGCATAACGGCGGCACGCTGAATGGTGAGAACACCACGAACGCTGACGGTGTGGCCACAGCCACCCTGACCAGTCAGACTGCCGGTATTATCCGGGTTACGGCCACCACCCGTAACCAGACGGCAAAAGCGGCTGATGTGACCTTCGTTGCCGCCATGCAGGGAGAACTGCTGGCTGACCGTACTCAGGCGCTGGCAGATGGTCAGGAGGCGGTCAGCTACACCCTGACGCTGAAAACCACTGACGGTAAGCCCCTTTCAGGGAAAAACGTCACATTCACCACCACGGCCGGGCAACTGAGCCGGACACAGGGCACCACCGACCAGAACGGCCAGCTGTCTGTGCAACTGACCAGCCCCCGTGCCGGACAGGCGGTGGTGAATGCCTCCGTGGACGGCACCACCATCAGTGCCGCCCCGGTGACGTTTGAAAACCACCTGGATTCCGCCATTGTGGTGAACAAAACCTCCGCCGTTGCTGACGGGCAGGACAGCATCATTCTGACCGCTGTCATCCGGGATGCCGCAGGCAATCCGGTCGCCGGGCAGGCTGTCACCTGGCACACAGACAACGGGCAGTTCACACAGCAGGATGCAGTGACAAATGCTGCCGGTGCCGCTTCTGCCACCCTGACCAGTACACAGGCCGGTAATGCACAGGTATCGCTTTCCCTGAACGGTACGACCACCACAGTAAGTGCTCCCCGCGTCAGCTTCACACAGCAGTTGTATCTCACCCTGCAGGCTGGCAGGAGCACCGCTGTGGCTGACGGAAACGACGCCATCACGTACACCCTGAACGTGCGTGACGCGGCAGGTCAGCCGGTGAAGGATAAGGCCGTGCAGTGGAGCACCGACCTGGGCACACTTTCAGCCCAACAGGGCACAACCAGTGCACAGGGCGAAGCCACGGTAACACTGACCAGCACGCAGGCCGGACAGGCCGTGGTTAATGCCACCGTGGACGGTAAACAAATCAGCGCACAGTCTGTCACCTTCACCCGTACCGTCCGTGGTGTCATCACGGTTGAAAAAGAGCGTGTTTATCCGGGAAGCAGACAGACGGTCACCCTGACGCTGACGGATGCCGCAGGCAACCCTGTCAGTGGCGAACGCGTGGACTGGCATGCTGACAGTGGCAACCTCTGGCAGACACAGGGCACCACAGATGCACAGGGCCGTGCCACCACGACATGGGAAAGTACCATGCCCGGAGCGGCCACCATTACCGCTGACGCGTATGGTCAGCAGTACACAGCCCCCGTCATCACGGTCATGCCTGCCCTGACGGTCAGCAACGTCACCGGCATCGATGCCACTGGCGCAGACGGCAAAAACTTTGGTAAGCGTGTCCCCAACAGCACCTGGCCGGGCGCGAAATTCCGTGTTGATACGGAGAATGCCGCCGGCACAGTCACCTGGACTGCATCCTCACCGGCCGTAAGCATCAACGGTAATATCATGACCGTAAAAAGCAATCCGGCAGGCGTCACCCTGACAGGTACGGATGCTGACGGACAGACTGTGACCCTGAATATGGGCAGCAACTGGTTTGCACAGAGTGCCACGAAATGGGAGTGGCTGAGCGGTGACTATGACGGAACAGCGATTTACTCCTGCCGCCAGCTGGGCGCTCAGGTGGCTTCATCCGGTGCCCTTCAGGGCATTATCAGTGAATGGGGTGAACTGGAAACCTACGATGGCTGGACAAACCTGAAAAATAACTGGCTGTACTCCAGTACAACCGTTGTCAGTGGTAATGGCGTGAAAAGTACCATTGCGTATCTCTTCCCCGGTGGCCAGGAAGGTCAGTTAACGGGGCTTCGTGGTTATTACGCCTGCCGTTAATCAGCCACAGACATAAGCCATAGTTAATCATCTTAAAGGACGAATCTGCTCTGACGGATTCGTCCTGTCTTGTATTAAGGAAAAGGCATAAGAATGAATGAGCGGATTAATGATAAAAGAAGATTTGAATACCATATTCATAAGTTGCAGTTCTGCGCCAGAAAACTTACCGGTGATATTGACTGCGTATTCATCAGGGAAGGCATAGATTTTAACTCTCATAATATTTTAATTCATGGCAGAAAAGGAAAACTGTCCATTTTAATTAAACCAGCAGATGAATTAAGCATACCATCATCACTGAATATGAAAACCAGACGGCAATGGTTCATTACCCTGCCGCCGGAGTATAATACTCATCAGTTTATTTACCGGATAATTCAGGAACCATCCTGCTCTGTCTGGCCACTCACAGTAAAGCCCGTCAAAACTTTCTTTAATATATCTCCCGCAGAGAGAAATAAAATAAAGAAAATACACAGACAAAACGTTAAGTTTCTTCTGCAGGCACTGACGCTCGATGTAACGCGGGGAGACACCCGTTTTCAGGATGCCGCCACTCGCTATACTGCCTGTACGGGTTGCGACATCAACACATCACTTCGCTATTTCAGTCGTATTTATCTTGAGCGTTAAACTAACTGCATCAGACCTCAAGGGGAATGTTTGTTAATTATCGGAAAATACGTAAAATAAAGGAAGTCGTGTTATTTTGTAATTTACAAAATTTAAACACAAAAACAACAAGCGTACAAAACAATCAATACTTAACCATTAATAATAAGGAGACAACAAAATGAAAAAACTGTCAGTTCTTTCAGCCATCATATTATCAGTGGCAAGCGGCTCCGTGCTGGCTGACAACCATTCGTTTTCTGTCGGTTATGCACAGAGTAAAATTCAGGATTTCAAAAACATCAGAGGGGTAAACCTGCAGTACAGGTATGAATGGGATTCCCCGGTCAGTATTATGGGCAGTTTCTCCTGGATGAAGGGGGATGGCAATCAGGAATATCACTCATATGGCGATTCAATTAAAAACCAGGTTGATGCAAAATATTATTCCCTTACTGACCGGCCCTGTATGGCGTATTAACGATTACATGTCACTGTATGCGGCTGGCGGCGTGGCGCATGTTAAAGCTGATGGTAAAACAGCATGGACAAATGTTGATGGTTATTTCGCCAGAGAAAATATTTCGAAAAAATCCACATCGTTTGCTTATGCTGCCGGGGTAATGATTAATCCGACAAGTAATATTACAATTAATGCCGGATATGAAGGAACCAGAGCAAAACTTGGCGATAATTATTCCATTAATGGATTCAATATTGGCGTGGGTTATCGCTTTTAATAAAGCAGAATGAGCATAATAGTGTTCATATCTGTTTTTTAATTAACCAACCGATACATTATGTATCGGTTGTCTGTAACAAATCAATGCTGCCTGTAACGGGACGAATAACTGCTGTCATGAACGTAACCCTGCGTCTGTTGTTGTCCGCAGGGGCTCCTGAAATTCATCTGACAGTTTTTCAATGTACAGGCTGATATTCTACATTCAGGCGTTTTGCCAGTCGTGACAGTCGCTTATCCAGCGTCCATATTTTAGCCCCGGGGGTAATCCTCGTTGACGCTAATAATGTTATATCAACCAGACCACAACCCAGGCCGAATAATTTTTCATTTTCAATGAACGCCAGAATTTCAGTAATCGTGGCCTGATGACTTTTCGGTAACAAGTCTAAATCACTCAATGTTCGCTGCCTGGGCGCTGGCGGTGTGCCGCATGCAATTTCAGCCAGGATCATGGGGTGCATAAGAACAAAGTCTGACTGCAATAGCTGAATCAATGTATCATTTTTATTTTTAAAATGATCAACCCACACAGACGTATCTACTAATATCATTCTGCCACATCTCCACGCCTGCGTGGTGTTATCTCCATATCCGGGGCAGCTCCACCAAGTGAAGCCAGGCGTTTCGCAGCCTGCACACGAATAAACGTTTTCACAGCTTCACGGAAAATATCTGATTTATCCATACCCGGATCAGCCATTTCCAACGCCTGTGCGTACAGAACATCGTCGATCGTTACAGTAGTTCTCATATTTTTGCATCCTGATGTGATATTTGATTCGATTATGAATCAAATATCACATCTCATCAAGTTACGCATCCGGACAAACAGTATTTACCCGAATGGCCCTGACTTAATGCCGTCCGTAACGGGGCAAATAACTGCTGTCATGAACGTAATCATACTTCTGTTGTTGTCGCACATCGTCCTGCACAGGGGTTTTTGGCGCCCCTTCCATCAGCCAGCGCAACGATTCCCAGGCAATTTCCGGCTCATCCTTCTGCGGGCTGGCCGGTGCTGTATCATATCCCGCCATCTGCCGCTGTGCCCTGTCTGTTAACGGCAACGGCTTTTCACTGCCCTCGTTAAACCACGGTACGATACTGCAG